AACGTGACGGGGAGACGACAAAGTGAGGTGTCGCTTGGGGGGGGGGGGGCGGTTCAAGGTCGGATGACCTTAGGGGCAGTTTGACACTTGTCGAGTTCCACGGAATGACGACAATCAGAGGATCATGCGTTCCGATATCAACTTGGGACGGATCTGGTATGGCCTGCGCCGCGGTGACAAAAACAAAACCAAGGGCCACAGAAGTCGGATGGCAAAGTTTCGGCCACACAGACGCACACACACACACACACCCGACACAATTCGGATGCCTCCCTTGAAGCAGCCGGGCGAGCAAGCAAGGCAGCACAAGCAAAGGGCGAAACGCCGCCGAGTCTGTGCAGCAGCAGCAGCAGCAGCAGCACAGGCGGCAGTAGTCAGAAGTGCAGAGTCGTCTGCCGAGAGCGCGCATCCTGTTGTCTCACGCGCCGGCCGTCCCGGATCTGCATGTCTCATGGCGGGTGCCGCAAAAAGTAAAGAGAGGTGGCATCTGCGTGCGCGTCTATTGCTCCCACAGCCTGCTTCACGTCTCACAGGCACTGCTGTACCACGGTGAGTTGAGCCGTCTCGGGGCACGTCTCACTGGAAGGAACCAGGATCAGGGCGCAGGCGCTGTATTTCGGCGTCCTTGGGGCGCCGGAGGGGCTGGTTGGGGCGGCTCGGGGGCCAATGGGTCGTGGCTCCGGCAGTTGGCGGTCAACACTTGTGCGGCCCACGTGTGCTGGGGGCGAAGATGGGACAGCGGCTAGTGTTCTGGCATTTTCACGACGAAGGATCAGGCTGAACATGGCTTTGTGGAAGAAAAGAAAGGAAATTTGAGGAAATGTGTGTGTCTCCCTGCCTTAGGGCTTTGCTCGTTGGTTGGGTCGACAGAAAGTGGTGAGCCGTGATGCTGCATATACCCAAACGTGCCCTTAGGCCACCCCCTTCACGACGATGACCTGCATGGAAAAGGCAGGTTGGGTTTCCCTGCGTTGGCAAAATGTCGAGGAAGCCAGCTGAGGTTCCCCAAAACCCTTCCGAAAAAAGAGCAGGCTGAGCTGCAGCGTCAGAATGATGAGTTACGATAGTCACCATGTATTCTCCTCGACGACGCTGCAGTCGCTCTGAGAGTTCAGGCCAGTCGTGCTGCCACCACCCATCACCCCCCTCGACCGGGCCTCAGTGAGCTCCAGTGAGTCCAGTCGAAAGTCAAAAGGGCCTAGGACGACGGCTCCCCCGCCGGGAGGCCTGCATACCCTTCCGGACCCGCCTGCCTCCAAGCTTCCGCGTCCTGCCCCCTGCTGCTGGAAAGTCACTACATGGTACTGTACAGTAGTAAGTCAGGCCACCAGAATGCACACAGTAACCCTCTCGCCCGCGGCTATGAGGCGATCACTACTGTAGCCTGCGGGACCCTTGCCTGACCTGCCCGTCCTGCTGCACACGCCCCCCCCCCCCTTCTCTTCCCGCTCCGCCCGCAAAAGCCGCGGGCCGCAGGACTGCCCCTCTTCTGCTTCTCTCTTCCCCTTCCATGTCATGGAACTGTCAATCACCTTGCCCCGCTCTCGTGAGCTGGAGGGGCACGAACGTACCGACGTGTCGTGTCGTGTCGTTTGTTGCGTTGTTCTGCTGGCCCATGTTGTCTCGTGTTGAGAGGTTGAGAGGGGTCGCTGAGGGGTAAGAATCCGCATCCAGGAGGGGGGCCCAAGCCCACCTCTCTCGCCCTCTCTGCCCTGATTTTCCGTCGTTGTTTCTCGAGGCAGCCCCCCCCCCCCCCAGCTACGCCAGGTACATCATTTTCAACTACAACTTCCCAAGAAGCATGGTCATTGTGACACGCGCCCGAAAGAGCGCGCAGAAGGGGTTGCCGTGCGGCACGGACTCCAGGCACATTACGCGCCGGGGCAACCCACCCCCTTTTCCGGGGAAAGGAAAAAGAAAAGGGCCAAAAAGGGAA